CTTGTGTAATTAGCATATTGTTTTTTGTTTTTAGTCACAGTTTGTCCTGTCTGCCGGTACATTTTCTGAAGCCATTTACTGAGGTGGCAGACAGGGGGACATTTACCCATCCCAGACTGAACTACAGACCAAACCCAGAAACAAGTGTATGCGGCCTCTAACGAATGCTTTGCTTCTACGTTTTTTTATTCTACTCCTTAGATACTTCAGAATCTGTAGCTTTTCTATAAAATCCACCGGTTCCATTGTGCTGCATCCCTGCTCGTCTCCATTCATAAAAGATTTGCAGGAATAGAAAAGCCAGAAAGCATGGCGGCCTGAAGATATTTTCCATTAATTACTGCTGCTCATTTCAAAGAGGTTAGTAAATCTCTTGAATGCTAAAAGACTGATCAATATTATTGTTGGGAAGAGCTGTTCAGCGCTTTTACATGAAAATGTATTACCAGCGGCTACAGGAGTTAAAAACAAAGACTATCTTATACATAATAACTTGGTGAGATGTTATGGATTTTTCTGATTCTTTTCTGAAAATGCTTTGTGATTGAAGTCAATATATCTTCAGCAGTGCAAATGAGACTGTGGACACTGCAGGGTATTCACAGAGGATCACTAGTTATTGTGCAAATAAAAGCCATTAAATATGCCACTTTTCAGCAAATGTCTGTCAAAACACTTCACAATGAAGTCTGTGAAACTACATTTTGGGTCACAAGACATGAAGCTATCCTTTCTGGCTGTGATATAAACCAAGCAAACAAAAAAAAAGGCAGCATTCAACATGAATTGTAAATAGTCCCAGCTGCTTACTGACGCATTGTTTGAGTTCAGGTCTGAGTTTGTTTGGCTTTGTGAGCTGGGCTTAAGGGGGCCTTGTGCATGTGTGAGCATATCAGGGATGCATTTTATGGCCGACTTTTTTGTGTCAGGCTCTTTGCAGGTTCTGCAGCAAACAGCGTTGCTCAAATTTCCACATGATTGCCTTACATATGATTACAGTTAATGCACCGGGGAGTGGACAACAGTATTACTTTGCAGGAGCTACATTTGAACACAGGCATTCATAGTTATTACTGTTCAGGCTGCTTATAGCGAACAAGAGGCACTTACTCCTAATGCGCCACCATTTTCATCATTGTTGTGCAAATTTATGCAGCAAAACCTCCTCACATCAGCTATGCTGCTTAGAACCAGTGATTCCAATACTGTTTTGGGTTACTTAACCTGCACGGGCGGCAGATCTTGGGGGGGCTGTTTATCATCACACGGTGTGCCCCTGTGTCCTGTGCCATCAAGTGAAGTGGCAGCTGTGAAGTCTGCCCCACCTCTCAGATTCAGAACCTTCATACCAGGTTCACTCCAGCCTCAGAACTTTGGATACATCATTAAGCGCACATGAACTGTTTCCCTGTTGTTGTTTTTTACATTTCTCATGTGAGGATAAAAGATCGATAAACTGACCTGAGGCCCTGCCGCTCTCTGCCTGTCTCAGGTCCAGCTCTCAGTGCAGCGTTCTCCTAAAGACGCCATTATGACATATTTTCATTCAAACTACAACTGTCTTTATAAGGACTGTATCAAAGAGCCTTGCTTTTACTTACCTGAGGTTTTGGTGCTGAGAATAATGACTGGATGTTTCTTTTTGTTTTCTCGGCTACACAGCTGACCTGGCTGCCGAAAAAAGAGACACACAGCAGCACACATCACATTCAGTGCCACGGAGCAACATTCTCAACTGAGTTGCAGCCAGTGAAAGTAAGCGGTTTTCTTCCAAATAAAAAAACAACAAAGTGAGGACAAATATTTTCAGTCTGAATGCAAAAGTTCAGAGGATCAAGAAACAAATCAGAAACTGCATAATGAAAAAAACATTTTGTTGTCTTTTATGGAAATCTTTATTTCCCAAATGCAGACAAATCAGAAACAATAACAGCCGCTGAATGTGCAATAAAAGAAAATAATTTGCTTAAAACGTGTTTCCCCATCATGTGACATTGTGGCTTAAAGATTCACCTCTTTAGATAAAAGAAAATAAATAAAAACTGGTTGAAACTGATGGTCTCCGCACCTGATTGCATGACACCCAGTCTGGTTAAATCTTAAGCAGATATCTGTGACAAACCGTTGGCTTTAACCTGGAAGCACTGAGGTAAATTTCTAACATTGCACACCTGAACGAACCACCATTAATGGAGCAGGGGAGGTGCCCCGAGCAGAACCAACTACCAATGATCAGAGGGGGGTGTCCCAAACATTTCAGCATTATGTTTACAGAGATATGTAGGGGGTTACTTATCATTATGGCATCCATCATCAGTGCTCATTGCTTTCTCACAGAATTTCAGAAAACCTCCTGCAGCTGACCATTTTCAGTGGATTTGCAACTTTTTTCTCCAAAACTACGGCTCCAACACCAACCTAATATCTGACTCAGCTTAGCAAATGTTTTAACTGACAACTCTGTCACAACAAAGAATTTGTTCCTATTCCTTTTAGTTGTTCAAACAAAAATAGCAATAACACGGGATAAAGAGATAAAATAATAATTTTACACCAACATAGCCAATGGAAATGAACCATGAAGTGTAAGACAAAACAAGGTCAAAGTGAGGTCTAAAAAGGTATAGGCCTACTGTAGATTAAGAGAAAGCCACATTTGTCTGCCTCAGATGTAAAAAAAAAAAGAGAACTTTGCAATAAAACCTGAGGGAATGGCTAACTGTCCTGCACAGTAATTTCAAACCCATTGTGAGGTACAGAATTAAGTGTGCCACCCTTTCTGATAGCTGGAAAGCTCTGCCCATATTTGGCTTTAAAAGACGGAGCTGACTCTGGCTGCTTTAACTGAGCCACAGATCCACAGAGCCGTGCCCCAAATTAAATCTGTACTGGGACACGGTTTGATATTTGGACAGTACTGTTTTTCTAACCAAAGTTAATGCTTGCTCACAGGTTTTGGACCACATCTGGCCCATATCACATTTACCAGTGTAATATCTGAGCTGCAAGGGCCAGAAGTGGCATCTATTTGGCCCAAAGCATGCAAGATCTGGGCAGACATTCAAGTTGATATGAATCACAAAGTGCTTGTTGGGATCTAATCATCAGTCAGGCTTGGAAATTATATTTGTGCTGCTCAGAATGTCGAAAACCTAATTCTGATGTGTTTTTGACGACCCCTTGTTTGAGTTGCAATGGTTTATCTATCATATATTTGCCCAACTACTGTTGCTTGATGCTTAACTTCAGTTCATAAGGGAATCCACTTAATTTAAGCCAGTCCCCAAAGTCGAAATACCTCAGAATAAGCACACACTTTGCTTATGGTTCACCTTTGGAGGAGCCAAATACTTTAAAGTCTTATGCAAAAAACATCTTCAGCTATTTTTTCATTTTGTTTTTAAAAAAAAGGCGAGCAGACCTCATGAATGAGGACTGGCTTTTTATGTAGAAACAGGAAGTGAGAGAAAAGCATGGCTGGAAAAAACCCTGAAATCACAATTAAAGACTGGGTTTGAGCCATCGGTGGCGGGTGAATTATCCACGCAGCTGGAGAGAAACCAAATGTAGATTAAGGACATATATTCAGGTAAATATACATATGCATTACATAGGAGTGATAACACAGATAAAGTATTTTTCAGCCAAAGCGCAGTGTGTTAATTTGTGGAGAGAAGCTCCAAATTCATTACCAACATTTGACAGAATATTGCAATTCTTTATTTACTGTTTCAGTTACAACCTCTTTTTTGTATTCTGTACAGCACTGAAGGCACACAAACCCAAGATATACCGGAACATAAGTATATACAACATATACAGAATAAATAATTCAATCTAGTTAGGTAGAAAAGCTACAGAGTGTGTGCTCACATGAACTGTCTGGACTGCAGTGAGTATGAAGGAGTCCTGAACAGCGACAGCATCCACTCATCCACCGTCCGTTGCTTTTGGGATGAGGTGTGAAGAGGAAACCTAAAACAGAACTTTACTTTTGAAGCGCTGATCATCATCCATGTGCTAAAAAACACCCCACCTGGAATCACCTCAGGAGGGGCAATGTTCTCAAGTGCCGTTATAATAAGTAGACATAAAATATTGGCATCAAACACATACACTCACTCACTCACACATGCACACACACACACTCACAGAGCACACAAAATGACTATACACAACAGTGGCCTGTTTCTTCTGGCAAAAATCAAAGAATGTTTCAGCAGGACTCTTGATTGTCATGCACCATCTTATGGCGTTTGATTAGTGCAATGCATTTCTTACACGACTACAGTTGTTTCTATACTGTACTCCAAGTGCTCTACTTTCTAACAGAAAGAAATGACATGTTTTCTGTGAACATCACCAGCTTGTAAAAAAATAAATAAATAAAGTTCCTGTTGGATCAATTGTCTGACAGGAGGACAGCAGTGGGAGCGCACTCCTTTTCCCGTTTTCCGACGTACGCTTGGCAATTGGCTCTGGGGGACAGAGAGCGTTCTGCTTCCAGCGTTAAAGAAGCCTCAGGTCAATGGAGGATGTAATCGGGTCATGGCTGGATTCAGGATGGACTGATTAAGCAGAATTCTGGGTCAAGTAGTGATTGAAATTCACTCATTTTGGTTCCAAACATCTGCTTTATCCTTTGAGGAAGTCGGGAAAGGGTCGCTGCGTAGATCAATTCCTTTGACTGCCCTAACACCATGCAAATGTAATAACATGTAAAAAGGTGATGGGAGGGGATTCACAGTGACCCGCTCAACACCATCTGAGTTACATTTGGCTGAAAACATGACACCTTTGTCCAGCTTCATAACATGGCTGTGAAAAGGTGAAACTTAAAGAACAAACCAGGTACATTCTGTGCTACAGTTAAAGAGATGTGCCCATGATACATATACATATATAGTCATATATTTCACACTCTGGAAAGAACAACAGAGCAAACAGGACAAGGCACTTGGTTAAGACATGATATATGTTGTCATCTTTTCATCATGAGCTCAGTTAAAAGTAGTCTGGTGCTCCAGAACCTCCAAATAGTCTGGCTCAGTGTGCAGATTAGCTTTAAGTTCAAAGTACTCATTCTTAGTTTGCTCAAGCATGACCTTGCGTGGTCTCGTGTACATAATTGTCTCCATTAGCTTTAACTCCTCTTGGTGCCCGGGGACCTGCATGTCCACAGCAGCCTGAAGCTGGGGCATGTTTTTCCTGAAGTACTCTGTTATTCCAAGCTGCTGCAGCTCTTCTCTCTCCAAAATATTCCTGTACAAGGAGTTGGGCTTCCCGAGAGTGACAAACTCTGCGGGGTACTCTCCAGCCACGGCTCTGAACTTGGAGCTGGGGTTTCCTGTGAGGGGGGAAGTGTTTTCCTTCTCCATGATGCTACGGCAGACGTGATGCTTGGCGTTGGATTCGTCCAGGCTGTAATCCAAATCCGTGTCGTGCTCCTTATGCTGGGAGCAGTAGGTGGGGTTGCGACAAATCTGCACGATGGGGCTGTGGGATCTGTCCTCGTAGAGATTAGCAGAGCCAGTTCTTTGTGTCAGGGTGTGGTGTGTGGTTTTCTGCCCGTACATGCTGTAATGTAGGTGTATGGGGGAGCTGCTGCTGGTGTTTTCTCGCGGCTGCTCCTCGGCAGCTTTCCTCTTCGCTCGCCGCCGCCGCCGATGGACCACAAACACCACCAAACCGGCTGAGCAGAAAATAATCATGAGGATGAAAACCAGAAGGCTCAATATGAGCACAGAGAGAGGAATGGTGTCAGTGAGCGAGATGAACAAACCCCGATCGCCACCAGCAGGGCCCAAGGTGGCTGTGACACTCTCCTCCCCCGGAGCCACTGGGTTGTAGGTCCCCAAACCTGGACACAGCATCTCATGATGAAGGCTTCTGAGCTCAGTCTGCATCACTTTCTTTGGGGTGTGACACAAAATGGACCCCACCACAGCATCCTTTCCCACTTTCTCCACCCATTGTTTAAGGCTGAGTAAGTCACAGCTGCAGTCCCAGAGGTTGTCCTCTAAATAAATCTCCTCAAGCGAGTCAAGTTGATCAAGCACGTTGCTCACTGGAAGGTGCATAAGACGGTTTTTTCTCAGGTTTAATTTAGCTAGGGGTACGTTGCGGAATATCTGTGCTGGGAGCGAGCTAAGCTGGTTGTTATTTAATGACAAAAGCTTCAGGTTTGGCAAGGGATTAAATGTGCCCGGAGCAATCTCTTTGATTAGGTTGTATTCCAGATACAAATCTTCAAGGTTGTGGAGACCGACAAACATTGTGGAGAACAGTTTTTCCATTCTGTTGCCATTCAAACATAGTTTTTTCAAACTGCTTAAACTCAGGAAAGTTTCATTATCAATGTAATCAATCCTGTTGTTTGCCAAGTCCAGCAGTTCCAAACTATCATATGTGACAAAATCATATTTCAAGAGTTTCTGAATCATATTCCCGGTCATGACCAGCTTGGTTGGGCTTTGCTGAAGTATTCCAATATCTGACACCTTCTGAATTCCTCTGTCCTTACAATGCATCAAAAAGCCAGCCACGGGGTCATTGTGACAGGAACAGTGCTCCACACAGGGACTGCCGGGGATGTGAGATGGTGTCGGCAACCTGCCGTCATCTTTGGCATCGATCAACTTAGGAATTTGAGACACTTTGGACGAGGGAGTGACAACCATATCCATAGACTTTGATGGCTCTTCAAAGTTAATGTCTGCATGGGATGGACATAGGACGTCCCGCTTCACTTTGGCGAGAATGGTCCCCTTTAGGTGCTGCGGTGTACTGCACACCACATCCCCGATGACGGACTGAGCCCGCATGTTCTCAATCCAGATTTTCAAATGCAAAATGTCGCAGTCACACACCCAGTCGTTGTCCTCCAGGAGGAGTTCCATAATCCGCCCGATGTGCTCCAAAAACCCCACAAAGGGCAGTGTCTGGAGCTTGTTGCCACGCAGGTCCAGGTGTGTGAGGGGCACGAAGCGAAAAATGTTGCTTGGTAAAAATTCAATGCCATTATCATTAAGGATGAGGACTTTGAGGCGGATGAGTTTGTTGAAGGCCCCTGGCTCGATGACACGAATGAAGTTGGTGTCAGCTTGCAGAAACTCTAAATTCACCAGGCCTTGGAAAGTGTCCTCTCTCAGAGTCACAAGGAAATTGCTATTTATGTGGAGCTTTCTCAGTGAACCAAGAGTGCTAAAGACCCCTGGTTCCAGCTCTTGTATGCTATTACCCCCGATGTGCAGTGAAAGGGCACCCCTAAGCCCTTCCATTTCCTCGGCACGGAGCTCCACCAAGTCGTTCTTGTAAAGGTTCAGGTGAAAGGGGAACCCTGACGGGATTTTGATTTGGGAGATTTTGCTGATGTTCCTCTGCTCGCAGTTAAGATGAAGGATGCCATCTTTCGCCTCACAAGAGCACAAGGATTCACAAGACTCGCTAAGAGAGGATAATGCCTGTGAGGGATGGGTATCTTGGGATCGGGCCGCAGCAAGAAACAAGCCGACGAAAATAATACAGGGCTGCATTTCAGTCTGAGATATCTGTGGAGAAAGGACAAAAGCACAGGCAGAGGGAGTGGGGAGGAGAGACAAAAGGTGTTTAGAAGACACATCAAATGTATCATCCTCAAAAATCCATTTGTTTCAGTCTGATTTCTAAATAAATTGCACTTGTGGATATTTCGAAGTTTTGGAAGTCCTTTTATGGATTAATTATAAACAAGAATAGGATGCACACTTGGATTCAGACATCTGTGCTCAGAAGAATAACTGCAACCTCATCTACTAACTTTAAAAAATATTAGTTTTAAATGTGTACTGTTTGCCATCTGTCTGATTTGTTGCCCTGGTTTCATCCCTTCGCTGTTCACACAAAAATGCCCTCATGCTGTGTACCACAGTATCATGGATCTTTGAAATTTTCTGTATGTGTATGGGTGCTGCATTTCTGCAATGAGAAAATACATTTCACAGGATGAGATATGAAAGCAAGATGGTATCTTTCCACTGAGTCAGTGGGATAATGCTACATTTAAAGGAAAGACTCTCATTTGACTGAATTCTCTGCCCTTTACACATGCTGACTCATATGACTTAAAACCTCCTCGCTGTGAGTCATGCAATGCAAAAGTCACTTCTGTCTATGTCAAAGCATTATTTATAGAAGCCACATTACACGAGCGAAGAATGGCCTTGTCTTCATGGTTAACTTGTGTGGGTAACCTGGGTTTCTTTAGAGTTAATATGATTTTTTGACAATGTATGTGAATGTTATTGACGCCTTCCATTGCAATTCCAGCCTTTACACGTTTGCTTCTTTCTTACTCTCTTGGCTCCAATTTTCCACATAACACAGGCATGTTCCCCAAAAAGCTCATTCAATTTCAATATTTTGTCCCGTTTCTTTCCTAAAATGGTGAAACAAGTCTGTAAATGGAACTGAAATGTCAACCCCTGTCCTGAGTCTGCTGCTCTGCACGAACCGAACCCAGTGTGACCAAATGTAAAGGCTGTTTGTCCTAAAAGTGTTGCCATTCTCGATTGTGTGTGTTTTGTGGAGAAAAAGGCTTGAAGATGGTCTGACAAATAGCTAAATCTGGTGTGAGAAGCTACATGTGTGGAGTGACAAAGTGGGAAAAGCACATCTTGTAGAGGATGCATCTTCTCTGCACAAAGTCGATAAATGACTGTTTCAATTTGTTTCTGAAATGCTGAAACTTCTGAGCACAGCCTCTTGATAGGGTCTTGATTTTCCTCTTATAATAAAAAGTGTAACTTTATTTGGCAGTTACCTCCAGTAATTCTGCAACACAGAACACACACACAGCAGAGTTTAGCAGAGCACGTCTTAGATCAAACCGATTATGGATCACAAAGCAAACCGACACATCCATCCTGTGCTATGATCCTTAGCCCTGAACGATTGTATTAAAATTCAAAATGGTTACCGATACTGGAAGGTTCTCCACATTCACACAAATATGATTACTTCAACGAAAAAAGTGGGACGACCTCGCTAAGCAGTGAATCACCACATAGTGAGGAGCACACAGGCAGAGCTGAGAGTCTCAGCTTCAATGAAAGGTTTATGTTGAAATATGGTGAAGGACAAGCGAAATACTAAGATATTACTTTAATGATAAGGAACTTCAGCACCACATCTATTTCCTTTACACTCAGTTGACTTAAATCATCTCAGATCAAAGGCTAGATGACTCTCAGGGGACTGAGACATCTTCTCAAGATCAGGGATGAACTAGATATTCACTGTTAACTAAACAAAATTCTTCAAAGAGGCAGGAAGCAGCGAGATGACAGCTGCTCTTGTTAATGAATTTGTTGCATTTGGAGAGCTTCTTTGAAGGATGACTGGACGAGCACTATTTTCAGCTGATTCAGTCGGAGGATGAATCCTTTGACCCATGATGCATCTGGGACACTTCTTTTGAGCGCAGTTCAGAAAAACACTTCATGACTTCAAATCAGTCAGCCACGACCACAATTTCCATGTGACGCTATTTAGCAGGTTGTGTGGTGCGCAAGTGTTCAGGAATGTGGATTTTAGGTCGAACATAAGTACAAATTTACCAAACAAATTATGCACATCGAAATAAATCCTGCAAAATAACAAAATACTTTTTCAATACCTTTTTGCCTTTAACACCAGACTTCCAAACTGTTTCGTCATCACCGTCTACAAAAGGTTTCCTGCTTGTGCATTCTAGCTACAATTGATCGGGACAGCCACTTATTTCTCACCAATATCCTTATCCCAGAATCATCATTAACTCTTCCCTGACCAAAGTAGAATGATGAATCTCATTTAGCATCAGTGCATCAATCTGAAATACTCAGGCATTCAAAAAATGTTGCTGGTATATGATGACTGCGTGACACTGTGATCAGATAAAAAAAATGAAAAATAAATAAATAGAAATCTTCAATAACAAGCAGATAATGGAGAGATGCGATAGTCTGGCATCACCCAAAGCGTTCACCAATGTGACCCGGTGGCTTTCAGGACAGTGTAAAATTAAGAAAAACTATTAGGATGTTATCTGCATGATAACGCAGCTGAAAGTAGGCATGGCAGGGACTGTGCCTTCTGTATTTCACACAGACTCCTCTAACTGATCCATTTTTCAGGCAATCAATGTTGCATAGAAGTCAGAGTGACGGATGCAGTAGATGAAACATTCTTCCAGTGCTGGTCCTCTGCTGCACCCTTTGTACTAACTCAAATGTGCTTTACTTGCTGTTCAGACAATTCAATTAGACCAGCGAGATGTCTCACGCATGTCTGTGAAGCCGACTCATAGTCCGACATCAAAAGTAGCAGAGACCTGAGCGGGGCATGGGAGCAGAGGAAAAGGGAAAAGAAAAACAGAAACTGTTGATAGAATATTTATCACATATAGAGTCTCTGCAGCCCTTTAGACATTGCCCACTTCCAAGCCCATAAATAGCCTATTCACGCTCCATTTGAGCCAGCTGTTAACTGTATTGTTCCAGTGTTGTGAGGTGTTCCATTATGTCATGAGACTCCAATCATGAGTGCAGTGCCTCTTCATGCAACCATTATGTCACAGTGACAAGGATTCCTCTATGTGTTCTTAGCAGCAACACTTGAGAACAAGTCATGAATACGCATGTTCATCTGCCACTCAGATCCTTCCAAAAAGAGTCCATCTGATGATATCAGAAGAAGCAGCGGTAAAAGGCAAGGGTCGATAAGTTGTATAATGCTGTCAACACGTTGATTCCCACCATCTGGGCTGAACTTTTATCCTTCAACATGATCCTATACCATCATTCTCCAGACTTTCTGAATTTCTTTCAAAGTTTTTTTCTTCTTCTTAGAAATAGACTGCTTGTTCCAGGTTAATTCTGGTGGTTTTCAGATCCTTCTAGAAAGGATCCGAGTGACTTTTAGCACAAATAAGTCATTTGGACTGAGTGATGATAGGTTTAGAGGACAGACTCAAAGAATGCACTTGTTTTAATGGATTCTGGTTCATGGTTTGAATCCAAGGTCGAGTTCGGCAGCGGTCAGTCCATTTCTGCTGACACAAAGGTGGAAATTATGAGACAATAGTCAAATTTCTCTTATTTTTCTAATTAGGCTCAATATACCAGCTTGGGACGCAGAAGTACATATGTAATGTGTCATTCATTATCAGTTCATTGCATACAGCAGGGTTCATCTTTATATCCAATATCAGGGAGATTCTTTGTCTTTCTTTCAGGCTGTTAGTGACACAATGGATTTTTTTGTCTGTGGAGTTTTTTCTTTTGTTCTTATTAACAAATAATAAGTTTATATAAGTAAGTTTATTCCTCGAGTTAGGTTCCTTTTTTTCAAATAAAACAGCTTCATGAATATCATTGCTGGTCTCACTCATTCAGATTTTAAAATGGACAATGCCACTGTCTGGCTCCGACAAACTTCTGAATGGCACTGGCTTTTGCATAGCAGGAGTTCTCATCCTGCAGGCCATCCAGACTCAAGAATTGCCTTCCATTAATTTGCACGCCTTGTGCACATGATGCTCAGAGCCCTGCAGGACCACATATTTTCATCATATGCACATTTGGCATAGCTGAGCTATAAATTGACACAGAGCAGATACAGTGTGACAGCAGAAACAGAAACCAAACTGAACTCCATGAGTGTCGTGAACACTATACAATCAACTGTTTGGTACATTATCTCGACAGAACATGAACAGAGCTGCAGTCATGTTCTGAGGCTGTCACTCTAGTAGGTAATGCATGCTGGAGCCACGAATAGCCATTAAGGCAGAAAACCTCTTCCTTTTCATGTAAGATGGTTAATGTCACAGTATGAAAAGCTTGGTATGCATGGTGGCATCTGACAGACAACATTCGTCCGACTCAGTCAAGATAGATTATTTTTAGGGATAGAGATAGAGATATTTTTGTTTTTAGCCTGCATGTCAAAAAGCCTTTGAGCCACTTAAAGTTCTTTGACTATCATGACCTTAGTTTTCCTCATTGCTAGGCTACCTGCAGTCACAGTGATTAATGGATCTTGACATCAAGGAGGTTGACAGAGTAATTCACTAAAGTTGCCTGACCTGACTGTATAAATACAGACTAAAAGTTTTTAAAAAGCAAACGCAGTTACATCTGTATAGTGTTCCAGAGTTAAACCTTCTCCACCTGGATAGGTGGTGTAAGCCCAGAGCTGCCGATTGTTTCTCCACAAACTGCTTTATCATGCAGAAGCAAAGATCTTTTTGGCTGCCTTGTAAGCACACTGAATTCAAGGGAGTGAGGCTCATGCTGCATGTTTTGCAGGCCGCTTCATGGGTTGCATCTTAAAAAGCACCCTCATTGGGTTGTCAAAAAATGTTATGAGCTGTACGTCCTTTCATGTTCTGACAGTTGATTGTAGGCCA